TCACAATTCCTCCGAGTCTCGATACTGCGGGGTTCAAGGATCCACCTGAGATGCCACCGATGGCAAAGCCGCCCACCGTCACGCAGGAGCCAATGGCCAGGCCAAATAAATGAGAGGCCTTGGTGCGCTCCGAAACGGCCACGCAAAGCACCACGAAGCAAAGGACGAAGGTGTAGATGATCTCAGCCACAGAGACCCCAGCCCAAGTGCTGAAACCCACGGGACCCAAGCCAAAGGTTGCGCCCTGGTAGATGAAGGCATAAGTCAACGCCGCAGCAATGCCACCGGCAATCTGGACACCTGCATATGTGCCAGCCTTGGCTGGAGTGAGCTCAGGGCAACGGCCAGATGCCAAAATGGCCACGGTCACCGCAGGATTGAAGTGGGCACCGCTCACATCGCCAAGGGCGCAAATCATCGAAGTGAGGCCGGCAGCAATGGAGAAGGCGGCAGCTTTGGACTTGCCCAACACGTTCAGTCCCACAGTGAGCACCAACATGTAGGTGCCCAGGAACTCGCTCACAAGCTCTGTGATCTGCGACTTCTCTCCACCGAAATCTTCAGGGCGCACCACCTTGAAGAATGCGGCAGCCATGGCAGCACCAAGCAGCTCAAAGACAATGTAGACAATGCTCCAACCAAAGCCCACTCCTGCACTGGAGATGTCAATGCCAAGGGCAACTGCCGGGTTGAAGCAGCCACCGGACACAGCACCCGCGCCGTAGGCACCTGCAACCACTGTGAATGCAATGGCCATACCGTAGTACTGGTTCTTCTCCGTTGCGTTCTTCTGGGCAGCTGCCACATTCATCACCACAAATGTCAGCATGAAGGTATACAGCAACTCGCAAAGGCCTGCATGGTACCACGAGAAGCCCTTGGCTGGTGCCAAGTTGAAACTTTGGCCGAAGAGCAAGAAGTAGCACAAGGCTGCTGAGATACCCCCAGCACATTGAACCGCAGAGTAGATGCCAACCTGCTTCCAGTCAAAACCAGGTCCACCAAGGGCCTTGGAAATGCCCAAGGTCACGGAAACAGCCGGGTTGAAGTTGGCACCTGAGATGCCCCCAAGAGCATAGATACACACCATGAGGACGAAAGCAATGGAAATTCCAGCCCATGTCGGGCTGCCACCCAGGACATTGCAACCCACTGTGAAGATCAGCAGGAAGGTTCCCACGAACTCCGCAGTGCACTTGGCCGTCAGGCTTGGCTCGGACATCGCTCTAGGCCTGGCTCGA